TTTCAGGGGTTCCACTAGGTGAAACTATTTTCATAACAAAACTCAGATATGATTTGCCTTTTTTACTGGGCCAGCCATTCCACTGATGGTACAAAAGCAATGGTGGGTCAAACTGCTGGTTCCTGAGCAGGAGTAGAGACAATGGCACCAAGTAAAACTCTTCACCACCACACACTTCTTCACTGCACAGGGAAAGACGAAATGCTAGCTTTATGAAAGAACATCCTTGTTGAGGCAGAAAAATTATATTCAATCTCAATCATCAAGTACATCTTTTTAATATTCTCTGTGACAAAATGAGAAGTACATATAAAACAGAAAACAATGGTAGTCTTCCAAGTAAAGCATTCATGTGATTGTTTGAATTGCAAAATTTTTCTGTGGAACATCATGTTTACTTGAAAGAATGGGGGACACACAGGTGATGGTTATTCAGACTTTGGTACTTGGCAGGCATTCTCTAGAAAATGAAACAGTAAGCCTGTCATTTCAAGGAAAACAACTGCCAGTATTTGCTGCCAATGATAAAATTTGAGCTGCCAAGAGAAAATTAGAATTTTGGCAAAATTGTATCTGTCACCATGAGCTTGGCAGCTTCCCAATACTTAACTGTTTTTCTGATGACAGTGCAGTAATATTACTTTTTGACAATGCATAATAAAATGTGGCAACGTTTGGAAATTCTATATAATTCAATGAACCAGTATTTTCCAAACACCTATCATACAATGTCACAGAATCATGCATGGGTAAAAGATCCAGTCAAAGTGAGAGAAAACCAATGGATTTTAATGTAACAAAGTATGAAATACTTTGTTACACTGTAGCACTGATAATATGTAGCACTGATAATATTTCAGATTCCACATTGCAGCCAACCTTCACAAAACCACCCCTTGTTAACTTCTGTGTAGCACCAAACAAGAATACCCACCATTATCTGAAAAGGCTATAGAAATACTCTTCCCTTTTCCAACTAATTATTTATGTGAGGCTGGATTTTCTTTATAATTCATCAAAAACAACATATTGAACCAACTGAATGCAGAAACAATATGCAATCCAGCTGTCTTCTATTAAGCCAGATATTAACAAGAGTTCATAAAGACAACACCATTCTTCCCACTAATCTTTTTGAAACAGCATTTTTCATTTTAAAAAATGCTTATGTTTACTTATAATGGATTTATTATTTCTAAATGAATTAATGAACACTTCCATTCCCCACATTAAAAATATACTGATGGTATATACAATGGAATATGACTCAGCCATAAAAAAGAATAAAACAATGCCACTTGCAGCAACATGGATGGACCTGGAGACCATCATTCTAAGTGAAGTAAGCCAGAAAGGGAAAGAAAAATACCATATGATATCACATATATGTGGAATCTAAAAAAAAAGTATAAATGAACTTATTTACAAAGCAGAAACAGACTTCACAGACATAGAAAACAAACCAGGTGGTAAAGGGGGTAGGAAGGGATAAACTGGGAGTTTGAGATTTGCAGATACTAACTACTACATATAAAATAGAATTTGTACTGTATAGTACAGGGAACTATATTCAGTATCTTGTAGTAATCTATAATGAAAAGGAATATGAAAAAGAATATATGCATGTACATATATGACTGAAACATTATGCTGTATACCAGAAATTGACAGAACATTATAAAATGGCATTTCAATTAAAATAAAATAGTAAATATATATATGTAGAGAGAGAG